CTTGTAGTATGTAAGTGATACCACGTCGATGGCAAAAAGGAGTGTTAACCTCTTACAAAAGAGAAGGATGTGCAGAAGAAGATGAACGGCAACACTTAAAGGAGCAGATGACAGAAAAGGTGATTGATGAGGATACGATCTTCTTATGCAAAAACGATTTTATAAACAGATTTTATATTTTCTATAAATATAAGTTTCTTTTTTGAAAATTCTCTTAAAAAAGAAAATTCTAAAAAACCGATTAGAAAAAATTATTATTGTTATATTATTTTGTTTCTACCGTTTATTTAAAATATATCGATAAATGCTTAAAAATATCGTATAGAAAACGATATATACTAAAAAAAAAATATTCTACCGTTATCGATTCCGTATTAATGTCAGAGGATTTTCCGTTTATGTACAATCTCAAGAAGATACTCCACAAAGTAAAAAAATTTTATATAATCATAAGGTGTTGGATTTAAGACTGCAATATAATCATAAGATGTTGGATTTAAGATTGCAAGTCTCAATGCTAAAAGAATGTCTTGCATGACAAACTTTTTCTAACAAAAAAAGCATACTGTTAGTATCTTGTATATCCTTTTATTTCAAAGGCTATTCAAGTTATTATAATAGAATTTTCCATAATGGAATTTATTTTTGATCAGAGCTCATGTGTCCTCATTTTTATAGACGATTATATGTTATAAATATACACGCCTGATTCATTAAGATTTTTTACTTAGAAGAAATACTAAGAGGAATTCCCCGCTTATTGGCAGAATATCTTTTTTGAGTATTCCCTCGTAATAATGACATAATAATTCAGATTTATTACAATGGCGTCCAAATATTATTCGACTTTAAATGAAAATATATTTCAAGAATATATAGGCTCTTTAGACATCAAGAAGAATTTAGGAATTAATTCTCCTCATGGCAACTTGCATGGAAATACAAGTAATCGGATTCAAGTATCGTCCATCATGAATTATAAAGTTTCAAATTCTCAAAGTTTATCGGCACGTCCGGTTTCCAGTATACGGTACGTCTATTAGGAGGAAAACTTTATTGAACTTTTGCGGTAGAGCCAGGTGTCGTGAATCGCTCGTTTTCTTGCGAAAATGATTACGCGAACGAGCTGACCTAGGTTTACACCTAGATTTTCTAAAAACTTGACCTACTACTATGGTGCTAAAATGGCACGACGACATTTTTCGAGATGGGATCGCGACAAGTACGCCCACTCAGCATTGCTTCACACACAATGGCTCTAAGAAGAGCGCTTTTTGCTAAAAGAAAAAGCTATTCTGGCTGTGAAGCTTAGTTCGCATCCTTTTCATCTTGAATTTTTGAAAGTGTGAAAAATGACACTTAAAATCTCTAACCTATCTTAGATATAACGTTCTTTTTCTTAATTACGATTATACAGGAAGATAAATATTCAAGCGAAAACGATAGATTTGAATGATTTTTAGCGAAGTTTGTTTTATTTTTCAATATAGTCTCTTTTAACTCAAAATACACTTATTCCAACCATATTCTAACTTTTTTATATCGTCAATGCGATTTCTTTAAGCCTTCAAAGTAAGCGTTAGTTTATCGATTACTTCAGTATTTGAGACCGATCTTTTTCCTGCCAGCCATTTCTTTGTGTTTGAAAAGAGAAAAAAGTCACTCGAGACTAAATCTGAATACAGTGCGTATGAAACCAATTTGAAGCGCTATTCATGCAATTTTGCGACTACGATTGAAGAAGTGTGAGTAGGTGCATTGTCATGATGGAATCAAAAGTTGGTTGCTTTATACGACCGAAACAAAACTAATGAACGCATTTGTCAAACTTTAACAGTAGCCCTGTGCAAGATCAAACTTGTCTAAAATTATAGCAGTTTGATATGTGTGGCGTCATTTGTGTGTTAGGCCGAGAATTTTTCGAGCTATCCTCGTATTTATCTATAAAGTAGAGCTTATCTATAAAATAGATGTAGGCTAAAAAAATATACAGAAAAATGTGTATACTTGAACTAAATTCGTCATTACAGATAAATCGTAAATTACAGATAAATATTTACCCTAGGGTAACAATATTTCTTTAAACTTGTGTACCGCTTGTTTGTTTTATTCTTTTCACATATTTTTTTATTTCTTAAAATATCATGATACGCTACTAATATAAGGAAATGCTTACCGTTAAC